GATATGGTTCAACTCTGTACAATCAACTTTTAACATATTCCAGCAAACCCGATAAAACCCAACCAAATTTCAAACAGACGGTAATGAATTCCAGAAAGAGTAATCTTTCCGCGTTCACTAATATAGCTTCTTCAACAAATAACTCGCCCAACAGAACAGAGTTTATACTCGGTAAAACCCCACTGCAAAAAAGTCGTAAAGAATTAGATACCCATTTGCTTCCTTAGAGCTTCTGAATAACCACCGAATTCAACAACCCGGCCTGCTCGATCGTCTGGGTGAGATCAGATAGGATCTTGGGAGGAAATCCAACAGCCTGCAGTTGGTACGACCTGGGCCCACCGGGCCTGGAAGCATTGATGAACGAGCGGACATCGGCTATCGTGTGGTGGTGGTTGAAGTGGGCCACCATGCGGGTCCCATCCGCCAGCCTCAGCTGGATGGAAGTTGATGGCTTTGATTTATCCACCGTGAGGCCCATGGCAGAGGAAGGCGCACTCGTGAGTGGGCCCGAAACAGTTTCTGTGAGGTCCGTATCAGTTGTGGAGCTGCTGCTGCTGCTGCTGCTTCCTAGAGTCCTGCCGACACCCTGAAATGGGACATGACGTGTTTCTGGCTCCTGGAAAAAATAAATAAATAATAAATACTTCATAAAGAATCAGTTTTACTTGACATTTTTTTTTTTTCATGGACTCACAATCATACAGTTAAGTACTTCTTACAACATTTTTGCCTTTTATTTTACTTTCAGATTTTTTTTGTTTCGTCACCGTTCTCCCAAAATATAATGGAACAAAAAAAATCTGACTTGTAATATACATTCCGAGGAAAACAAGAATGAGTGATTCTGTTAGCAACTCTTTATTTCTTTCCTTTTTTTTTTATTATTACTATTATGTTTGTTCAAATATAATATTTAGTTCTACCTACAGGTCCGAATACCATCAAGGTTTTGTTTAGAATACGTCTTTATCTGTTGAAGAGTACAGAAGATACCAGTAGGGGTTATCTTTTATTTTTCTCTTTTAAAGGACCTCCAACTGCTTATCAGACCACTCAAATAAATAGCAAAACTCTGAATCAGATCAAGGAAAAGTAGAAACTCAAAAACTTAACGTCTCTGCAAGATTACAGAAAATTACATACACATTCACAGCAGAGTTCACTCAACAGTTTAAATAGGGATAATAAGCCTATTAAGTTTTCAACTACTACTTAAACTATATTAAACTTTTGAAAATCGAGAGACTAGTAGGTATAGAGTTCTTCCAAGAAGAGTGAGAATGAAAATGACAGATGCAATGAGAAGGGAAGTCAACTCAGAAAGGAAAACAATGGCAGTCGATAAATAACCAATAGAAAGTAGAAACTAGTCATTGTCATGAGAGAATTCCAAAGCTCTGTATAACAAAATTAAAACACAATGCCTAAATCAAAATTACTAGAATCTAACATCAGTCAATAGCAACAGCATCCTCACAATTTCAGATCACAACTGATTCACACTCATTCCGATCTAAAAACAGTTGCAGGTAATCCTTAGTATGGGTTGTCCTCTGATGGGATCTACTCTTAAACGTAAATTGGCGTTATCTGCTAAAAACCTTTGATGAAGCTGTTTTTTAGAGCATAAGTTATTTAAGCACTTTCGTACCTCTTCAGATCCTTCTCGACAGAATAAATTTATCAATCTGAGTCCTACCTTAAAATAGGTAATTTTCTGGCTAACGCTAAGGGCTTGGGCCCAAGTTTACTTACTCTATGGTTTTGATTATGATTTCTGTTTATGAGGTTACATTTAAACAAACAAAAGTGTGCAAGAACAAAGATAAGAGAGATTTTGACTTGATCAGCAGTGCAATAACTGAGTCCTCATTAGCTCTATAATCCAATTTGCTGCTGAACTATAACATACTGACATAGACAAGGCCACCTTTCTATCTTATAAGCCAAGCCACAGTATTATACATATCTTGTGAGCAAAATCAACCCTAAATATGACACCTATTTACTATAAAGGAACCTGAGAGCAAGCAATTGAAGAACACATACAATGAGCACATGCATATAACAACAAAAACAGATAAAATATAAATATAAAGCTTAATAACCAATGCGCTTACAGGACAGTTTTCGTTCCTCTTTAAGAGATTAACATGAACAGAAGATTTCCTGTCCGCAGGTTCCAGCTCTTTAGGACACTCTGATTTACCGATGCTCTGCATTATGATACCAATTATAAACTGTCACTCCAAGAGCTCTACTTCATTTTTTTTTTTTTTCAATGATAAATTTTTTATTCCTCAACAATGCCAATTGTACAAACAGGGAGAAACAAAATGAACAAAAATAAACTAAATAGACCTCCCACAAGCTGAAACTTCAGAATTATGTTATTCCAATTTTGTTGAAAAGCTACCTAAGCTGAAACTTCAGCATAATGTCAATACAGTTTATGCTGCATCGCTCGACTTTAATATTTCATCATATAAATATGTTTTTCTACCTCAAGAAAAGCGGCATTTTCAGGATCATCCATCCTCCTCAAAGGGCCATCATCAACAGTGAAACCATTTCTCCAGAAAACAACGTTGTGCACAACTGGTCCAGGCTGCGGTTGAGAAGTTGGTCCAGTCTCGCCCGAGAGCAATCTTCCGGTCCCAGTAAAGCTTCTAGAGCTTGCAGATGGCTGAATTACCAAGGGTCCTTGAACAGCACCTTGCTGACGGGCTTGGTCAAAGATCGCATTCACATCATTACCCTTCGATGGATCTTGGACTAGCATACCACTGAAAGTACCATATAATATTAAACTAGTCAGTTATAGAATTTTCCCAGTAAAAGACTACCTATCAGACAAAACTACAGGCATAAACTTACAGCATACGTCTGTGAAACGTGAACACAGGCATAGGGTTTTAAATCCCCCAAAACCATAGCAAAAATATCAGTTTAAATCCTCCGAATTCATAGCAAGGACGAGCAATCCAATAAGAACAATCTAGGGTTTTTTTCTATCAATAAATGAAAAAATTGAGGAAAGTGAACCTTTTCTCGCCGCCGGTATAGTACTCCTGGGGTCCATCGGAATCACTGGCGGGGTCGCGAGCAGGGGGACGGTTCAGGTCGGAGAGAGTACGTATGCCACCGGGCCTGCTGCCTGAGGGTTTCGCGGGCTTATTATCCTGTGAAGACATTGTTTTAGATTTGGGAACGATTGTGTTGTAGGGGCATAGGATAGGGGATTTTCTGAGAGCAAAGTAGGACGGAGAATATATAAAGAAGATTTGCTATACAAGATTTTAGAGTACCTATATCGTATAATAATGATAATTAATCTACCTTATATATAATTTTCGAGCTTATTTGGCATAAATTTACTCTTCTTATTGACACATGTTTAGGCTTAGTTTTGACTATTAAGTTTAGGAATTACCATAAAATTATTATAGTTTTTATTTTTTCTTAAGTTACCATATTTCACTTTTGTTATTTAATTCATATATTAATTATTACAAATATGTATTATAGTTTTATCTTTAATGCTTTATAATTTTTTTTATTTGCACTTAATTTTTAAAATATGATCTATGAAAATAATCATGTTTTGATGGTTTTCGGTTTGACACTCATATTGCATATATAAAATAAAAATTAAATTTATCTATATTTATAAATAAAATTAATTTTAATTTGAAAAACATCAAATAACAATATAAATTATTTTATAAAAAATAAGCTATTTTAATATCACAATAAATAAAACTTGTTTTGTTTTTTTATAAAAAATTGAACTAAATATATGAATTAAAAATACGGGTAACATTTGAATTATTTATCACTTTGTTAGTTATTTACAATTGTTGTGTATTTATTATATATAATTCAAAATAAAATAATAAACTACTATTAATATAATTTAACTACCATTAGTACACGAGTTATTAAAAAAAATTGATTACCATAAAATTGGGAGTTTTGAATTATGCAAAATATAATCACGTATATCTTTTCCTAGTTGCAACAGATCAATTGTTTATTAAAAAAAAATCAGATTACATGGAAATTAGGTTAATTTAGGTAAAATTCAGCATGACAATTTTGTGAAAGTCAAAGTTGTAAAAAAAAAAAAGAAAAATCTATTTACTATAAAATCGGGAATTTCGGGCAAAATACTATAACGCGTATCTTTACCTAATTGTAAGTTATAACACATATCGTGTTTATTAAAAAAATCGAATTGCATAGAAATCAAGCTCAATTTCAAATTGAGAATTGAAATTTAAAAATCTCTCTTATCATTTGACTACTACTAGGGCTGTAAACGAGCCGAGCTCGAGTTTAGGG